TGTTAAGGGATTTAATTTAAGCTACCATAATAAGGAAACTATATTAGTTACTATAGATCCCTATTATGGTAACTTAAATTAAATCCCTTAACAAGAACCCAGTATAGGTAGACTTGGGGCCGAGCCCATCGAGACCGCGAGACGAACTTGGGTTTCCACCGTTTCGGATTTTCGTGATGTTTGTACAATGTTGTGGGGTTTAGGGTTTAGGGTTTAGGGGTTTAGGGGTTTAGGGTTTAGGGTTTAGGGGTTCAGGGGTTAGGGGTTTAGGGTTTAGGGTGTTTGTACACTGTTTGTACACTGCTTGTAGGGTTTAGGGTTTAGGGTTTAACTTGGGTTTCCACTGTTTCGGTACCGTGATGTTTGTGCAACATCCTTTTGGGTAGATTCAGCTTTAGGACACAAGCCCAAATGATTGTGCTCCTAAGCCCCAAGATTGGCAGAGTATATGGAGCGATGCTCTTTTTGTTTCGCACCTTTTGTTCCGCAATCCTAGACTATTTTAGAAACCCTTGACTAAACCTTGAAGCCGAAATCTAGCAGACTCCTAGGTAGTATAAGGGAGACACGTCTTTGCCCTTATGACGCTCTCAAGAGGGACCTTGTTGAGAGGGTCTATATCCCCAAAAGTCCCCCTAATATAGGATTGCCGATTGTATTTTGGGCGTTCGTTATTCTATAAGTATAGTATAATATACCCCAAAACCCTATTCTAATTACTAAGGCCCAGATATTAATCCTGACTCCTACTATAGACCAACCCCGACAACTCCTTGACACCCAGCAGTGTGAAAGAGGAACGCCATCATCCTAGAGTTGTGCTCCCGTCGTGAGGTCTGCAGATTCAATGGAGCTGATCGCAGTGGAGTCGCTGCAGCCGCTAGCCCGGGACAGCTCAACGAACCTTGAATTTCAGGGAGTGGCGTAGAGATCGGGGCAGATAGTTTAACGAGCAACAACTCGGCTTTGTAATACTTTTTTCTTGGGGGGGGGACCTGTTCCGTAAAGGAACCATTATGAAATAAAAATATATACTTTTTTCTCCCTGGTTACTTCAAAGCCCAGACAAACTTTGGCAAGCGACGCCTGGGATGTTGGCCGCTTTTGTGTGCCAGCTCATCGTCCACCTCCCCCGCCACAAAACCAGAAAAACTTAACTCATCATATACCCTTATAGTAAGGGTCCATGTACCCAAACAGTATAATAGGTGCCAAAGTACCTATATAGGGACTACTTGAAGGCCAAAGTATATACTATTTGGGCACATGGACCCTTGGGGTTATAGTATGTCTTATAGTAACCGTAGCTTAGTACGTAGACTGCCTTTATGTCACCCGTAAGGTATCCTTGTAGTAAACTTAGCTTGTGCTGCCCTGAAAATACCCTTATGATGCCCTTAGGCCCAAAACGTGCGAGTCGTTCAGGCCTTCCTGAACAATCAGGATCGGGCCACAACCCTTCTAGGATAGAGCTATGCAACATGTGTGCTTGAAGCCGAACATGTCCGTTGACAGTCAAAAACATGCACGGAGTTCTCGCTGAAGACCCCGATGGAACCCCACACCCACAAACCCTAAACTCTGAGCCCTGAACGAACCCCACACCCACGTAAACCCCAAACCGCGATTTTGCAGCCTCTTCCCCTCACGACGAAGGCGCGCCGTCGCCGACCATTTGCAAAGTGATGGCTCCAACTTGGAGACGGCAGAGGCTTGGGGTTTTTTGACCAAAGCAAGGCTTGGGGCTTACATCAGGTTAAGGTTTGTCAATGTGTTATATACACATGAACCCGAGACCATGCGTTACTTCACAACCCTTATATTCAGCCCTAGCCCGAATAGCCCCACCTGGACACTAAAGAACCTACTGTGCTTAGGGAACCCCATTATAACTATGGTTTCTTTCAAAAGTAGGGGTAGGTTGTTTGGGGTGAAGGGAAAGCCGGATCTCTACACCCTACCGTAAGCCCTACCTTAAGAACCCAAAACCCACCTTTTTGTAGGTTCTTACTATAAACCCTAATATGGGATTCATAGGGACCCTACAAAAAAAGTAGGTTTGGGGTTCTTAAGGTAAACCCAAACCCTGGCGCCACAAGCTCCCAGTGTTTCCGGGGAGGCTGTGCGCTTTGCTGCGGCGCTCCCGGGCGATGAGCAATACAGTAAGGCTGCAATAAGGTGTCGATGTAGCAGTGAGGGGATAGTTTTTCATTGCCTATACTATTTTGGGGGTTCCTTATTATAGTTTTAGTAGAATACATCCCAAAACCCTATTCCTATTCTAATTATTAAGGCCCCTATATTACTATTCCTTTTGTTTCCTTTTCATAAAGACAGCAATAACAATTAATCATCATCATCAAAACCCTAAACCCTAAACCCTAAACCCTAAACCCTACACCCTACACCCTACACCCTAAACCCTAAACGAAACTTATTCCAACGATCAGGCCCCGGAACTCCAGGGCCATTGGGAAGCCGATCGTACGGTGGAAGTGTTTGGGGATGATTTCGGCTAGGGTTTAGAGTTTGGGGTTTAGGGCTTTGGGCTTAGGGTTTAGGGGGGTGTGGGATATTTTGGATTCGAAGAATTGGGTTCGGGGATAGGGCAAAGATGTCCTAGTCTTATCGTTCTTGTTTATTGCAGGTCGGATCCCAAGTAGCCAGTTCCGGTGATGGTTGCTCGAAGAAGTCCTTTCCAGGGCTCTGAACTTCAACTCCAAAGTACACCCTACACCCTAAACCGTAAACCCTAAACCCTAAACCCTAAGGGCCCTAAACCCTCAACGACATTCCCAACCCCTGGGGTTAGTAAGCCCTAAATAGGAATCCCGAAACCCTAAGCCCGAAACCCTAAATTCTGCAGACTTAGAGGAATCGCTTGGGGGATCTCCAGGAAAAGCTGAGGAAATTAGGAGAAACTCTCTGCAGCTTGTCTGGTATGGGGCTCGGACTAGTTCGTAGTAGTAGTCTTCCCGTTTGAGTTTATAGGCCATTCTTCTAGAGCGCATAGTACAAAATGCAGTACCCTCCGAGACCCCGGCCTAATCATTAAGGCGACTCTGAAGCAACCTCAGACAGATGCCGGGAGTTGCATCCGACTCCCATCATCCAAGGCTGCACAGTGTCCCTGGGTGCTTAGACTTCGTGCGTCGCACTGCAGAGGACCTGCCACCAGTTGGAGCTATCTAAGAACATGGTTGCACGGTTTAGGGTTTAGTGTTTGGGGCGGAATGCGGTAGCAGAACATTGCCTGAGTAATCGGAATAGGGTCTTGGGGTATCTTATTGCGATACAATGACAACAAGGAGGGCGTAGGCAATAAGGCCGCACTCGTGGGTCATGTCGCACACATGGTTGGCGACTTGATGTCTTATTCACTTATAGGTTTATAGGTTTCTTGGATTTCGAGTTTCAGCGCTCCCGTCTCTTCTCGGGTCGCCATTTCGACCGTTTTGGGCTTCGGGTTAAGGGTTTAGGGGGGCTTATCGGAAGTTCTTGAAGATGACACTGTCGCACGGTGCAAAACCGTAGCCGTTTCAGTCATCCCCACCACGACCATGATAAGAACCAACACCGTCATCGCCCTGTAAGCAAGAGAGCATGCAAGTTGGCAACTGCAAACCTGGTAAGCAGCATTAGGTACGAGAGGAGTCTTCAAGCAAGCAGTTGGGCGGCAACTTTGAGTCTTGCAGGCCATCATCAGCGTTGGATATTATATACATATATATATATATAGAGAGAGAGAAAAGCAAAAGTAATATACATACAATCATTCTGCAGCCATTTAGGAGCGATGGCCTGAAACTGACGCATCGACACAGTACTCGAGCCAGAATCTTACGCTGCAACACCCCATGTAATATTGGGGCCCGAAATTTCGAATGCGGTCGCTGGGATATCTTATCGCATAAAGCAATAGGGACTCTGCTGAAATATAGGTGAAGATTTATGACTTCTGTTGTCTTCGTAGGGTTTTCAAGGCTCTTCCCACTGCCCCTCGTGTCTCTTCTACAGAACTCCCCCATCTGCTCCTTCACACCTCTCATGACCGCGACCCTGAACCCTAAACTCCCTGACTCTTCAAAAGTTGAGACGGAGGCTGTGGGCCAAAGTGCTCACGAGCTTTCGCTGCGAGATGTGCTGCTGAGTCCTGGCTGATGTTGGGTATCCGGAGCGAGAGAGCGCCAAATTCTCTGGTGTTTCTATCGCCAGTTCTGCTGTTAGAATGAGTACTGAACCCTGCAGCTGTACCCTACGGCTAAAGAAACAGGGTAGCCCCAGAAAAGGAATCACAGCAGTTTCTCGAGAGTGGCAACCTTCCTTAGCAACGATATTCCCTGTAGGGCAAGCACTGCTCGCGATGTTGGGTACCGGACTGGCCTTTCCTGTTTTCATTGCCATGGCAGTGTACATCCAAAGGGTCATTGAATGCGGTGTTGATTTTCGGTCGAGGAGGCTTGTAGGTCAAGTGCTGCATCCTAAACCTTAAACCCTAAGTGGCGCAGCACAACGAGTGTTGGTACACAAGCATCCCCTACAGCAATCGGACGACAACCCCACGGTGGACCAACGCCAAATCTGCGGCTGCAGCAAAGCACTTCTAGAGACGTAGGTCTTGTAGGTCTTCCCCGGCTCGTGCCATAGGCAATAGTTCGGTTTCTCCAAAGCCCATGAGCTCCAAAACCCATGAATTTCCCGGAGATAAGGAAGGCTACTAACTTGGTTTAGTGTTAAAGAGCATAGGGTGTTTTGGCTTTGGGTATGGGGGGTGCGTTGGTTTTTCATCGAGTTTTAACGTGCTTGCGGTTTTTGAAATTAGGCCTGGATGCCTCTGGGCACTCGCAAGACGAACCACACTAGATACCATATACTATATATATATACATATACTCTATATATATATATATACTCTGTATATATGTATATACTCTGTGTATATATATATACTCTGTATATATATATATATATATGTATACACTATACGCAAGCCTGCAGGATGCTTGGAACCCTGCAGCAATTGGAGTTGCGGGAGGCACCGCGCACTCAGATGACGCCCTTGCTCCAAAGCAACGTCTGGGTAACTCACGCCTTGCTTTCTTTCAGTCTATGGCGCTACGAATCGCTGAACCCTAAACCCTACATTGGTAGGCCCTACATCCCACAGTCCATTCCGAGACCCTACACGGTATATAAGTTCTAAGCCTAAATAAAACACCAAGCTCTAGACCCTAAACTAAGAAGTGCAAGGGTGACTTTTTGCACATTCCGGCTAGGGCTCTAGGAGGCTATAAGGACTTTAGGGATTTGTTTCAGGTCTATAAAGGGTCCTATACCGGCTCTGATGTTGCATAAGATTACTATATTTGATAAGGGCTTAACTGAGCCACAGCGAAGTAACCAAGGCAGTCGGCTTAATATAGAGACGTCAATATATTAATATATATATTAATATATATATATATATGTATATATATATATATATGTATATATATATATATATATGTATATGTATATATATATATTGTTATGAAGTTCTCATCATGATTTCCGCTTCCGCACACAAATTTCTAGACCCTGCACCCACCGATTTCGGGTGACGGAGGCAGCGTTGTGGCAGCCGCTGCTGTGGCAGCTTCATAGAGTGGTCGACAAGGACACCGGGATGTTCTCATACTGCTGGACTTTGGTGACCGAAGCCTTCAAACCTACAGAATTGAAAGCAAGACCCCTAATAGAGCCCCTGAACCATGGAGTCTGAACCCCTGAACCTCACACGAATATAGAAGCCGCAATGACTACCAACATTATTCCTTAGGGTTCCTTAGTATTAGGGTTTAGGGTTTAGGGTTTAGGGTTTAGGGTTTAGGGGTTTAGGGTTTAGGGGTTTAGGGTTTAGGGGTTTGGGTTGAAGGGTTTGGGGTTTAGGGTTTAGGGTATAGATATACTACAAAGGAGCCCTGTTAAGGCCCCTACATTCTTTCAACCCAGAGTCGGCTTGAAGGATCGAGGGAGACTCAGTGAGGAAGGTCTGGCTTCTGCCGCAGGCGTACGGTTTTGGGGGACTTAGTAAGTAGGGTTTAGGGTTTAGGGTTTAGGGTTTAGGGTTTAGGGTACTTAAAGGATCATGGGACATAGTAAGTAGGGTTATAACTAAGGTAACTGCACTTGTAACCCCAATTAGGGGACTTATAACCTTACTTACTAAGTCCCATGATCCTCCAAGTAGTGCAGGAACCTGACTAAGAAACCCTGGTTCTCTACTAAGGCCCTTAGTCTGTATCCTACTATTTTTGGGGCACTTAATCCGTATCCTACTATTTTGGGGTTATGTGACCGGAATTTCTTAATCCGGTTCCTACAGTATCTTCGTCGCCCTGCTCTTTTGCGACCCTTGCTGTAGTAGGTAGACCCTAAACCCTAAACCCTAAACCCTGAACCCTAAACCCTAAAGCCTAAACCCTAAACCCTAAACCCTAAACCGTCAGGTAGAAGTTGGTGTTGAAGTGGAGGACCCGAGAAATGACGGCCTTGCAGCACAAGCCAGAAAGTTGGAACATCGATATCCTCATGCCCTCAAGGTACAGTATGAGGGATCCCAGCACGAATCCTCCTAAACGTATGTTCCAACTTTCTGGGATTCGCTTTAAAACCCTAAACCCTCAACTCCTTGATGAGGATCCGAGGAGTCATGGATCCCAAGTTGGTCTTCTTAAAGGATCATGGGACTTAGTAAGTAAGGTTATAAGACCCTTAATTGGGGTTATAAGTATAGTACCCTAATTAATTATAACCCTACTTACTAAGTCCCATGATCCTTTAAGTTTGGCTGTGGGAACCTCCAAAGGGTAGAAAGCTCTTAGCTTCGAGAAGCCCCCAAATACATCGGCATTCAAACTACCCATAGGCCGCATTGTAGCTCCTTTTTGGGGATGCCTTATAAACTCCTTAATTAAGAAATTAGTGGTTAAACCAAATGAAGCAACTACAATGGAGACTACAGGTATTCCTTCTAAGATTTAGTATGATTAATGTAGCATGATATAGTATAGTACCGTAGAATATCATGGTGCTACTCTTCCGTTTAAAATACGGTACAGCGTACCGTGATCTAGTATAGTACCGCAGAGTATCATAATACTATAATTCCTTTTAAGATATAGTTTGAACGTACCATGATATAGTATAGTACCGTAGCGTATCGTGCTACTAGACGCGAAAGCTTCGAGCCCGAAACCTTCATGGTCGTTCCCGCTGCAGCCTGAGCCCACCCACCACTCTGCGCAGAGCCCTGAACCGTAGACCCCAAAAACCCAAAGGCCCTGAAACCAAAACGCAATATCCCAAGACCTCAACCCATCTCCAATTAACCCCGATTTGTTCAAGTGAACACTCACCTCCCCCCTGCTTCGCGCGATAAAGGAGACGTGGTCTCCTGCAGTGGCCATCCATCTCTTCCGGTCACTGGAGAGGTCTGGCACAGGGTAGGCTAGGTATGTAGGGCCTACAGAGTTTAGGTTGCGGGCGTAGTAGGTCTTCACGATTTGGGGCAAATTCTGAAGTGATACCACATGCTTGCGCCCGACGAGTGTATCGAACGCTCCTCAGCGCACTAAGCTCAACACCCCAGTAGAACCGCTAAAGAACCCGTTGCCCTTGTTCCTAAACCAAGATCGCTTCAAGAACAAAGCACAAAGCCCTCTGTGAGCCTCCCACAAGCACTTTCCGGAGCTTGACAAGGACGGCTTCTAGCTGCAATATAGGCTTTCAATGATTAGACTAGGGGCTTTGGTGTCTATTGTACTGTATATACCTATGCCCGGGAATTGAAAGGAGAGGATTGGTAGATATTCAAGCTTCTGTGTTTTACATGTTTTGCCGTGGTTTAGGTTGGGATGTTGGGTTTGTCCTTCTGGTTTCGGGGTGTTTGGGTGGGGGGGGGGGGGGGGG